TAAAGCTAGACTGATTGATGATGATGAAGCAGGTACATTTTTCATTCCTCTTTGATAACAACATGCCGTTTTCTTTTAAGAGAAAACAATTTCCTATTAGGCTGGCCTTCTCCGTGACTATAAATAAGTCACAAGGTCAGACTTTTGAGATAATCAGTTTAGTATTGACTAAACAAGTTTTTAGTCATGGACAACTTTATGTTGGCCTGTCAAGAGTTAAATCATTTGACAGCCTTTCAGTAATTGCTCCAAGATGCCAAATCTATAATTGTGTTTTCAAAGAAATTCTAAATGCTTAGTGTTAATTTCTTAGAGCTTTACACAAAAAAAAAGGGTTTTTGGAAAAAATTTAATTGAAACTTCTATTGGCAGTAGGCAAGGGGAACTGCCAAAATCAAAACTCCCCGATTAAAAATGCAGCATGGCGACCTCCACGTGGTATTTCTCGGGTAATGCTAACAGCCATGCATTTAAATTTATTGTGTGTAAAACATCCTTATTTTGTTCTAAAATGTTATGTACTTTATCACAAATGTTAATTAATATAGAAATTGATTTCAATAATGCTGATCACCAAAAAATATTTCATTTGGCGATAAAACAAATTTTTGTGTTCTTGAAAATGAAAGACTTTTTGAGGGTTATTATCTCACAAGGAAAAGTTAGGGTTTAAAGTTTATATTTTTAAAGAATAAAAAAAATTTCTAAAACTTTCAGAATTTCTAGCATTAACTAATTTATTATACACATTTAGTTGAGTTTAGATGAGTAACTGCAATATTTGATAATTTATTTTGCTAATGTTTCTCATTTAGCTAATGTTTTGATTTTTTCACCATGTACAATCTAAAGAGCTAATATACTTTTTTTAAAAGCCAATAGGAACATTGATAGAATTCTTCTACATAAGTACAATACTATTTCTTTGATGATAATATACTATGTCTTTGTGCAAGAACATTGTGTTCATTGGCGAGCGAGCGCAGCGAGCCATGGTTCATGGCGTGAACCACATAAGATTGCGTAGCAATTCTCGGGAGTTGGCGAGCGTTAGCGGGCAGGGGGTGGAGCCTCCTAGTTATATTATAAATCTTAACTATACACAGTCAATTATTTCTTTTAAAATTACAGGTTATAGTTCTTCCTACAAAAATAACTTCTATAGGTTTTTTTGGTCTTAGGGATTAAATTTTTAAAATCATAAATTTATTTATTAGCTATTTAAGTTTTTATGGAAAAATTAAAAAAACATTTATCTTTTATCACTTCAAAATAGCTTCATCTTGCAAATAAACTGGGATTTTTTAAAAATCATTTTAGCATATTTTTTTTATCTCTGGTTGACTTAAACGATTCACCTGATTAAATTTTTTTACCCAATCTTAAATAATTTACAAATGAACAATTTTTTTTTTAAAATTTCATTTATTAATAAGTTATTTATCGAGTTAGTATTATTAAACAATATTCTTGAGTTTCTTAACAAGTGGAATTGAAGCGTAAAGGAGAAAACTATTATGTTTAAGTGAATCAAATTATAGTTTTGTTTTAATATAGATGACGCGTTATTTAGTTTCCAAAATACTAGAATTTTAAAAAATTTAATGTTTAAATTAAAATAAAATTAAACTACCTAGTTATTATTTAATTATACTAATTTTTCAAAAAAATTATATCTGTTACAAAAGTATCTAAACTGGTTTTAATTTGCTCTTTGTATATCTTTGGAATTTTTTCTAGTTGTGAATAAATTTTTTATTCTTTGAGGTGCATTGTTTGAGTAGAATAATATTTAATTGAGAACACTGTAGAATCTTATGCTGGATGTGCATATAGTTTTTATTTATTCAGATATCACCTTTATATTTTTTCTTTGTAAATTTTGAATCGTGATAAATTTTTGTCGGAACAAATATGTCTATATCATATTAATTATTATTCCTATATTAAAAAGTATTGCTTAATTTCAAAATTATCTTAGCCCCCCTGTCGAGGGATTGCTGACCACCTGTCGGGCTAAGTCTAGCGCCACTCTTGCCTTAAAGTAGCAAGATACAGAAATTTTGCTCAGTTTTCAAGATCCTTAACTGCCTACTCCAAAACTAGAAAAGAAGTCTTTAGATTATAGCAGAAACAAAATAAATCTGTAGATCTATTGTTATTGATTCAAACTTTATATAATACGGCCGTAAACTTTGAGGCCCATATCTGAGTAATCGAATTTCGAAAGAGTAATGGAAAAGCTGCAAATTCTTTTTTAAAAATGTAGGCCAAATATAAATATCTCAAGTTAACAACTCCCTCCAATGAGAGCTTTAATTTGTATCTAGAATTTACTGAAGGGGAGGATGGAAATATATTCGCTTCTATTTAGGCAAAAAACATGTTTCTGGTGTAATTTTTCTTTAAGGAGAATCGAATGAAATCACTATATCCAGGTCGATATACTCAATAATTGAGAAGTTATTTAAATTTTATATAGACGAAGAACAAATTCTGACTCATACATAATTATCTGTCTTCCTTTGCTATCCAAGTAAGTGAGGTGTGGATTTCATTATTGTTTTTCAATTAATCGCTGGAAATAATTCAGTTTACTAATAGTTAAATATAGTTATATGTAATATCACTCATCATATATAATATCTCACATCTTTTATATATTTAATAAAGATGTGCGTGTAAAAAATACCGAAATAAACTATTACTGAACTGAAGTGTTTCTATCTATTGCTATAATATACATTGAAAAAAATACCTATCTTGCTTGAATAGCAATGTATGGTGCATAAATATGTATGAGTTATAAAATGCTTTGATTCTATATAAGTCTTAAGCAACTTCTTAATTAAACGATACATTATCTTGGATTAGATATCATTCGATTCAGGGAAAACATTACTCCCTAAACATTATATCACTTGATTAGATATCAAATATGTTCCTCCCGTTTGCATTCTTTCCCTAAATTCTAGATGCGGAAATAAAACTCAACACCGAGGAGGCTGTTAACATAAAATATTCATATTGCACTTCATTCCCAACTTTTATAACAACGCTTTTCCTAAACTCTTTTTGCATTCAATTTCTCAGAAACGTAAAGCCATATATTAAAGCTGCATTAGAAACCATAGATCTGTGAGTTGATTATGTTTCTGATATATTTAAGACTTCATTTCCGGCTAATTTTATACTTCGTGCAGTTTCGGCAACAGCAGTTACATACTTATAAAAATGGTCGGAATTACAGTTTTTTTTGCTACTTCAAGGTAGGATCTCGTCAAGGTTTAAGATCTCGCCAAATGTATAAGCAGTGAGCGAAAAAAAAACATATCACCCTGAATAACTTTTGTTCTATTGATCGGATTGGAATAAAAACGTATGGAAAGAATTAAAAACGCTGTAAAAATGCGTTGTCGCATTTAAGGTCTCATTACATAGAGGAAGAGAAACAAACATAGTGATAGGAAGAGAAACTTCCAATACACCTTTCTCCTTATCTATTAAGGTAATTAAAAAAAGTTAATAAATGCAAATGATATTACTAAACGTTAAAAGAAAAATATTAAATTAGCAGATTATAAAAATAAAATTTATCGGAAAAGGGTCAACCCTTTTTCCTCAGATCTGAGAGGGAACAAAAAAAGAGGAAGACCAACAAACTTCCAAAAAGAGGAATAAACTTCCAAAACTACACGGTAGAACAGTTTAATGAGAACGGGCGATACCGACCTCCCTTGGTCCTTAAGCAGGGAGATCAAAGTGTTCTCTCGACCATTTACTGACCGCAGCAACTGATGCTTCACTTCGGTGTTTAACTGCTAATCATGCAAATTCCAAGATGCGAACAAGAACCTGTACAATTTTTTTTTTAAAATTTCATTTATTAATAAGTTATTTATCGAGTTAGTATTATTAAAGAATATTCTTGAGTTTTTTTAACAAGTGGAATTGAAGCGTAAAGGAGAAAACTATTATGTTTAAGTGAATCAAATTATAGTTTTGTTTTAATATAGATGACGCGTTATTTAGTTTCCAAAATACTAGAGTTTTAAAAAATTTAATGTTTAAATTAAAATAAAATTAAACTACCTAGTTATTATTTAATTATACTAATTTTTCAAAAAAATTATCTCTGTTACAAAAGTATCTTAACTGGTTTTAATTTGCTCTTTGTATATCTTTGGAATTTTTTCTAGTTGTGAATAAATTTTTTATTCTTTGAGGTGCATTGTTTGAGTAGAATAATATTTAATTGAGAACACTGTAGAATCTTATGCTGGATGTGCATATAGTTTTTATTTATTCAGATATCACCTTTATATTTTTTCTTTGTAAATTTTGAATCGTGATAAATTTTTGTCGGAACAAATATGTCTATATCATATTAATTATTATTCCTATATTAAAAAGTATTGCTTAATTTCAAAATTATCTTAGCCCCCCTGTCGAAGGATTGCTGACCACCTGTCGGGCTAAGTCTAGCGCCACTCTTGCCTTAAAGTAGCAAGATACAGAAATTTTGCTCAGTTTTCAAGATCCTTAACTGCCTACCCCAAAACTAGAAAAGAAGTCTTTAGATTATAGCAGAAAGAAGTCTTTAGATTATAGCAGAAACAAAATAAATCTGTAGATCTATTGTTATTGATTCAAACTTTATATAATACGGCCGTAAACTTTGAGGCNACATATATACCTCTGGAGGTATATTTAAGGTATATTTGAGGTTGATTTTGAGGTATTCATTTGCACCCTTTTCAACCTTTACGATGTATTTAAACAACAACCTCCTTTATACCTTTAAAATATACCTCGTTTATACCTCATTTATACCTCGATTTTTTCATAAGGGGTGTCAAATACATATGAGGATGTTTAGTAAGAAAAAGTACTAACTCTGAATAAGCTAATAAAGTGTAGAGTGCAAAATATTGTTAAAAAAAAAAAGAAGAAAGAAGAATCGATTCTTTTTCAAAAACGAACTTGATGAATCGATCACGAAAGGAGTTGATTGAAATATCGATTCGTTCGTTTTTCGCACATCACTACTAATAATACCACTGCCTCGAAATTACGCAATTGTTTGTGGAAAAATTGTTTACAGAGATGAACTAAATTATAACAGACTATCTCCCCTACACTGAGGAAGACATTTATTAACCCCATTTGTGTAACGGAAGGCTTTAGTAAATTGTTTTGTCTTTATTCATTACATAATGTCTTATTTAAATATCAAAGATATATTCGTTCAAGGGTAATAAAACTCTCTTATATATACTCAACTATATAAACCTGCCTATCAAAAAACCCTGCCAAAATAAAATAAATTGCTCTCATAGTAATTGGAAAAATATAGAAAGTGCTTTCAAAAGGATTATTTCCATGCAGATCTTATTCATGGAAAATAAATGTGGATGGAAATTATAAAAAAAATATTTTCTGACAGACAGTAAACAGAATATGTTTCCTGAATGATTTATATTAATAACCTATTCATGCAGTGTAAATGCTTCCTGACAGAAGGAAAAATTATTAAAGACAAAATCATTTTATGTGATAGTAACATTCTTTGTCCGGACACTACCAGCAAATAGTGTCTGTGTAATGTGTGTCATTGTGGTAATGATGTTCTAACACACAAATAATTTCATGCAAAGAAATGTAATGCTTGTAGTTTATGTGCTTGAGCTTCCAAGTGTAGTTAATAAGTTGTTGCTTAGTACTCTGGTAGTGTATGTCATATAATTTTATAAAGCAAACAAGAGTGACCAATAGTTAATACTTTTTTATAATTGCTAGAAATTTATTTCTTGCAGTACATGTAATCAGAATTTTTCATTAAATTGTTCTCATTTTTCTGCTCTTAGTTGAGATACTTTGTTCATGCAGCATGGGCGAAAAAAGTTTTTCTCAGAAAAATAAACTTATTGAACATAGTGTTATTCATCCTGTAAGAAAAGCTTATTCTTGTTGTATATGTAATAAAAGTTTTTTACATAGAGGTAATCTAAATAAACACAGCCGCACTCATACTGGTGAGAAACCTTATTCTTGTAGTGTATGTAATAAGAATTTTTCAGACAGAGGTACACTGACTATACACAGTCGTGGTCATACTGGTGAGAAACCTTATTCTTGTGGTGTATGTAAGAAGAATTTTTCAGATAGAAGTACACTGATTATACACTGTCGTGTTCATACTGGTGAGAAAACTTATTCTTGTGGTGTATGTAAGAAGAATTTTTCAGATAGAAGTTCACTGACTATACACATTAGTGTTCATACTGGTGAGAAACCTTATCCTTGTAGTGTATGTAATAAGAGTTTTCTAAGAAAAGGTGAATTGACTCAACACAATCGTGTTCATACTGGTGAGAAACTACATTCTTGTGTTATATGTAATAAGAGATTCTTACGAAGAGATGCACTTACTGCACATGGTTATGTTCATACTGGTGAGAAACCTTTTTCTTGTGATATATGTTATAAGAGATTCTCACGAAGAAGTACACTGACTATACACAGTTATCTTCATACTGGTGAAAAACTTTTTTCTTGTAGTGTATGTAATAAGAGTTTTTCAATAAGAGCTAATTTGAATCAACACAGTCGTGTTCACACTGGTGAGAAACCTTATTCTTGTAATATTTGTAATAAGAGTTTTTCAATAAAAGATAATCTCACTGTACACAGTCGTGTTCATACTGGTGAGAAACCTTATTCTTGTGTTATATGTAATAATAGTTTTTCAGATAGTGGTACACTGAATAAACACAGTCGTGTTCACACTGGTGAGAAACCTTATTCTTGTGTTATTTGTAATAAGAGTTTTTCAGCAAAAGATAATCTCACTGTACACAGTCGTGTTCATACTGGTGAGAAACCTTATTCTTGTGTTATATGTAATAAGAGTTTCTCGCAAAAAGGTAATCTGACACAACACAGTCTTGTTCACACTGGGGAAAAATGTTTTTCTTGTAGTATATGTAATAAGAGTTTTTCAAAAAGAGGTAGGTTAAAACAACACAGTCGTGTTCACACTGGTGAGAAACCTTATTCTTGTGATATTTGTAATAAGAGTTTTTCAATAAGAGATAAACTCGCTATGCACAGTCGTGTTCACACTGGTGAGAAACCTTATTCTTGTGTTATATGTAATAAGAGTTTCTCGCAAAAAGGTAATCTGACACAACACAGTCGTGTTCACACTGGTGAGAAACCTTAATCTTGTGTTATATGTAATAAGAGTTTCTCAATAAAAGGTAATCCGACACAGCACAGTCTTGTTCACGCTGGTGAACAACGTTATTCTTGTGCATATATGGCAGCGTTACTTTTAAAAAGTAACAAGTAAAAGTACAGGTATTTTTCAAGAAAAGTAACGAGTAAAAAGTTCTTATTTTAAAAAATAACGAGTAAAAAGTAGAAGTAAAAGTACAAGTACTAAACTAAAAAAGTAACGATTTAAAAGTACATTTCTAGGAAATCAAAAATTCAAAGTAACCTAAGATTTTATTGAATAGTATTCTTATGTTCTTTAATGTTTTCTCAAAATTGTTGTTATTTATTTAATTATTTTTAATTCTGAAAGTTATGATTTAAAATTGTTTTACTCTATAGAAACGCGCTTTAAAAGCACAAACATAAACAAAGCAAACACGTACGGGGTTTCAGATAGCTCTGTGATCTTTGAGCTAGTAAAAAATAAATGAATGTGCAGTATAAGTTGAAACAGAACAGTCTACAATTTTATTTGTAATAATGGCTAATGCTGAAGTCATGCGAGTAAATCATTTTCCGAACATTTCTGCCTAACGGAATAATTAAAATTTGTAAACGAATTTTAGTATCAGCAGCTAAATTAATACCTTCGAGTTTTAAAGAGTTAAAATAGTAATTATAATAGTTTTCAATAGCACAAATAGTTCTGAAGTTCTTAGAGATTTGACTGGGCGTTGTTTGACAAGGTCAGGCATAAACATAATTTTAGTAAAAAATGTACTAGGTAAAAATGTATTTAGTAAAAAATGTATTGAGACAAAAATATATTATTAGTGAGTTCAAAAAGAAAATTGAAAAACGTAGTAACAAAATTCAACATTTTTTGTTTTAAATAAATGCATAAAACTCGAAAATGAATGAAAATAACTTGCTAATTAATATTTTTATTCATTTTGCAAAATAATAGCATTTCGAAAGTGGTGTCACTGAGTCTGGTGCGAGAATTTCTCAGAACGTGCTTAGCCACGCTGAATAAGCGCTCCATGGAAGGTCAAGGTATTTAAACACGAAGTTAGCTGTGAATGCATATATATTGCACATTAATTTCATAAATTAAGAAAACGTAAGCATTTTTTTTTTTAGTTTAATTTTTTTTTAGAAAGCTTATCGAGTTTTAGAAAAAAGTAACAATTTCATTCGACATTTCCGTTACAAATACTTGTACTTTTTCCCTAAAAATGTATACTTGTACCGCCGGTACAAGTAACATATAAAAGTACTGCCATATATGTTCTTGTGTAATTTGTAATAAGAGTTTTTCAGTAAGAGATAGTCTCACTATACACAGTCGTGTTCACACAGGTGAGAAACCTTATTCTTGTGTTATATGTAATAAGAATTTCCCACAAAAAGATCTGACTAAACACATTCTTGCTTATGCTGCTTAGAGGCTATATTCTTGTATTTGTAGAAATAATATATTATATAAGGACTATCCAGGTAATTACACTTGTATTCATCATCATATCTGGCTAGACACCCCAGGGTAGGCCAGTGCCTTCCTTTGAATTCGAATCCACTTCTCTCTACTTTTGACACTTGTTCGCCAGTCTTTCTCCTTTCGAGTAAGGAAATCAGCCTCAACTAAATCCAGCCATCTCAGCCTGGGTCTACCTCTTTACCTGTTCGTTAGGGGTTTGTGTAACAGGGTTTTTTTTTAAAATTTGAGTCATCATTCCTTCTGAANAGTAAGGAAATCAGTCTCAACTAAATCCAGCCATCTCAGCCTGGGTCTACCTCTTTACCTGTTCGTTAGGGGTTTGTGTAACAGGGTTTTTTTTAAATTTGAGTCATCATTCCTTCTGAAAATGTGAGCTGCCCAGTTCATTCGATTTATTTTAATGAATTTCACAATATCTGGCTCTCTGTAGATTTTATACAGTTCAGTATTATATCGTCTTCTCCAGGAATTATTTATTTTTATCCCACCAAGAATGACCCTCAAAACTTTTCTCTCAAAAATGGCAATTTTATTTTCACCAGCTTGAATTAGGGCACTTGTATTCATACCTATGAAAAACTTCATTTTTGTAGCATATGTAAAAAGAGTTCTTTTCAAAACGCTGACTTCTGTTTGTAGTCACATTGGTGAGGAAACCTTTTTGTTGTAGCATAATGTAATAAGAGTTTTTATCTCAATAATGTCCTATTACTGAACATAATCTTTTTCAGAAAAATGATACACCATATTTTAGAAATATATTTTAAATGAGTTTTCAATAATACTGATCTAAATGTTTACATTAGAGTTTATACTTGTGAGGTTTGTTATTGTAGTAATATATGCAATAAGTGTTTCTCAACAAGAACTAATCATACTAATCCAGTGTTTTCTTTACAGAAAAAAAATGGGAGAGAAATTCTCACCCTTTCTCAAAAACAGAGTGAGATTTCAAAAAGTTAAGTGAGATTTCATAAAAATAAAAAAACACGAATAGACTTATAAAAAAATATTTCTTATACATTAGAAATATTTTTTTATAAGTCTATTCATATATTATAATACATATTATTCATATATTATAATACATATTATTACATCTATATATTATAATACATTTTTAACATCTAATTTCTAAACCATTGAATATTTTTGCTGCATCATCATATGGAAAATGTTCTATATCTACTTTTTCATCAGCTATTCTCATTATGTGTCTCAAATGCTCATCAGTCAATCTGTTACGATATTTTGTTTTTATTCGGTTTTAGGTGGTAAATGACCTTGCAATAGATGCTGAACTATTCGGAATCACTAATTAAATTTGTAGCATTGTGCACACACTTTCCTATCCTCTACATCTGCCAGCAGAGGCTTCTCAATTATTTCTGTTTTAGAATAGTGAAGTTCGTTGAAGTTATTTCCATGTTCATACTTCTTGTTAGGTCTTCCAGCTTAGTTTTCACAGACTTCAACTTTTACAAATTGCTGTAAATTGTCGGTGAGGGAGTTTGGTAATTCATTAGCAGCTAAAAATAGAGCTAACTTTAAACAACTTATTATAAAGGACTAATTTTTTTCAACAATTGTCTTAGCTGTTTTCACGTCTTTTTCGGAATGGCGGAATAAGAAATTTTTTCCGAAATTCGAGAGATTTGTGCATTTTAAAATTGATTAATAGAGTGTGCGAATTCTTCGCGTTAATCATTTTTTAATCCGAGAAATGAATAAAATGTGCGAGATGCTCACGCTGTAGTGAAAACACTGCTAATTATAGATTTATTGATCCTGGTGAGAAACATTCTCGTCGTATATGCCCAAAGAGATTTTCCTTTAACTTACTGACCATAATCCCACTCGTACTGGTGTAAGTTATGAATTGTTGCAGCACGTGTAAGAATAGATTTTTACTGTGTATTAAAATGACTGAGCACTGTCTTTTCTAGACAGTCATTCTATTTTGTATTTATTCATAAGTAATGCCTTTAAAATAAACTTTAATATAGAAAAGTTAAGAATTTAAATTTAAAAAAAACAAAAAAAGCTTTACAGACACATTTTATTGGAGCTTTGATACTGGATAACATTACTTAACCACCAGTTATACTGGACAAAATCATAAATTGTTATATATTCTCTCACCATTAGTGTCCTAAGTTGAAGGTAATATTTGATATTTTTCCAGAAACATTGAAATTGCAATTTTATATGAAAATATCATGCAGCTTCATTTACTTAATGAATCCTTTGTAGCACACATTGTATAATTAAAATTTTTTATATTTTATGCTATTATTTTAAATTTTAATAAGTTACAAAACAAAATTTAACAGCCCCTAATTATAACAAAATATTTTATGTTATAATTAAAGGGGAGAAGGTTTATGTTGTTTTTAAGTAAATTTGGTTTTATTGCAATTATGAAAGCTATAGAGAAAGTGGTAAAGATTGCTTCATAAAATCTATTTCTTGTTTTTCAATCCATAGATTTTCCACTTGTTCACTATTTTTGAAATCTCATTTCAATGTAAACAAGAATATTGCTTTAATAAATATTATACCAGTCATTTAAAGTTTTACTTATCATAAATTTTTTTTAAATCACAATTGAACGTTTTTGAACCTATAACTAAATAATTAAGTTTAGTAAATAAATATGCAAATGTTTTTAATGTGCTATTTTAAATAGCTGCCCAGTTCATAAATATTCCTTAAATAACTTTTTTGTTGTAAGGTCTTTATGTATAAGTGTGAGATATTAATTTGTAGTTCTTTTCTTATAATAGTTCACCACATTTTCAATATTTTGTTATAAATATTTCTATTTTTTCTATATACGATTAAAATAAAAGGCACTTTATTTAATTTTATACTCATACTGTGTATTATGACATAGTGGATACAGAAATAAAGTTTCAAAAAATTGTCAGATGTTTTTTTAAAATTTATTATTTTTTGTACAATTTCGATATTTTTTACAAAATATTTCAATTTTTTTTGTTTACATTCAATTAAAATAAAATGCCTTTACTTTAGAGTTTCATTTGCAATTTTCTTAATAAAATAAGTTATAAAAATTTGTAACAGACATTCTATAAAATTTATTTCTTATTTTTTAAGAATTTTTTGAAAACAAATTAGTGTTGTAGCAATTATAATGATGTTTATGTGAAGTGATTAACCCTCATATTTTATGTAAAGTGTGGATGTTCAGCTTTTTTTGCCAATCACATTTCTAACGTTGAATAACCTAGCTTTTGTTGAGTATGTAATAAAATATCGTTACAAAATGGATAGTTTTTTGTTGCTGATAGTCATGTTCATTATAGTGTGAGTCTTGTACTCTATGTCAAATAAGAATGCTCAGCATTATGAAAAAAGTTAAATTTTTAAGGCTGAATAATATAATTTTATTTTGTATGTATTGAAATATTTTCATAAAGTAGCATTCTTGTTGTTCACAGTCACATTTATTATGGTGTGATTTATTGTAGATTGTGGATTATACGAAAATCATTATGAAAAATTGAATAATCAATCTGTTGTACTCGGATGAGTATTGTATTTTATAGCTAATTGCCGCATCTAGTGGCGGACTTATACATTCAATATATGTAGTAACCTGTGACAACAGTTACTAACTGCTATTATTAATCATTTTAGGTTTAGCAGGTATATGCTAGAAAATTTAACTTTTGCTTTTCCATTTGTTGAATA